TAGCGACCCCTCTTTGGGTTTCCGAGGCAGTATCACTACAGAAGTAGGATTGCCCAACCTTCCTTCCGAGGAGTGGCTGGTGGGTTTGAACCGCCAGCTGTCTGGTTAGCCAGCAAGTGTCTTAGCCATTATGCTACCAGAGCTCCCTCCAAGATACTAGTGCAGCTTTTACTGATGACTTAAATACAGACTTTTATGGAGAAGTGTGACATTTTCATTCTTAAATGAGTTTACAGATTCAGGAAGACACATTTTACACAATTGAGTCTTTTTTGCACTGTACACTGAGGGCTTCTGAGTCTCTTTAGGGACGAAAATGAGTGATCATTTAATAAATGAAAATAAAGTACAGTGCATGTTTTCCAGTGTTGAAATTGCTTTATGCATGTTCCTGATTAAATGATCACAAACTGCCCACTCGAACGCTCATTTTCATCCCTAAAGAGACTCAGAAGCCCTCAGTGTACAGTGATTCAAGAAAGACTATTCATTACTCTTCTTAGTTGTGGAAGTAGATACTGTTCAGCAGCTTAATTCTGACAAAACAGTGAAGAATTTCTAAGACCAAAGAATAGAAAGAAATGTTTTTAGTTATATTAGAGATGAAAGATTATCTAAAAATAAAGGATAGTAAGTTGTTGTAATAATTGTTTTTTGATTATTAAATTTTCTTTTCTGACTTTTTTCATTTGCTAATTTATAATTATAGTATTTATTATGCAACAAGCATCAAAATTGAAGTAGGAGCTGTTTAAAGCAAAATCAGTGAAAGTCAATTTTTCACTGTGGGAAATAAACAGAATTTTCCATTGATTAAACAACTCAGTTCCCTGACTCCATTTAGCATTCAATCACTAATATAGTTGTATTAAAGAGAAGATACATCATAGATAGCTAAGACACATACACACACACACACACAAAAAAACAAACCCTGTTGGGACAGTGGTTAAAGTGCTCAGCTTCCAACCAAAAGGTCAGCAATTCGAACCCACCAGCCACTCCAAGGGAGAAAGATGGGACAGTCTGCGTCCATAAAGATTTACCACCTTGGAAAGCCTGTGGGGCAGTCCTCTGTCCTCGGTCCACGGTTGCTGTGTATTGGAATTGACTCAGGGCAGTGGGTGTGACATGTCTCTGCACTCAGCCATCACTGTTCTGTTAGGAGGAGTCCCTGGGTCATGCAAGTGGCTAAGCAAGCACTTGATGATTAGCTGAAAGGTTGGTGGTTCGAACCACCCAGAGGCACCTCGATGCCAAGCTTGGGGATCTGCTCCCATAAAGATTACAGCCTTGGACACCTTCTGGGCAGATCTCCTCAGTCCTGTGGGGTTACTGTGAGTCCGGATCAACCGATAGCAATGGGTTTGGTTTTTGATAGATAACTCCTGTTCGAGTGTGTGAGTGAGCAGAGGAGGGGACACTCCAGGTTATCAGTGCTCAGGGCCCACACGTGCTTAGTCCTGTTGACAGGTCCCCGGGGCAGGTCTGGGCCTGGGCGGTGCATGATCCAGAGTACCCCATCAGGCAGTGCTTGCTCTCGGGAGCCTGTGGCATGGTCGGCACATGCCTATGGACAGGAGTATCCTGGAAAGGTAGCATTTTGTTTCTTTACACTTGTAAGAAAGCACTGCTTTAGAGGCTCTGGTCTCCCCTCCAGGGGATGAGTGGTCCCAGGAGGGTTCTGCCATTCTCCCATCTACAGTCCATCTGCGGAGCACCTTTCTTGTTCACTTTCCATGACATTACTGTCTGCCCCCCGGAAACTGGGCAGATGCTCGCAAATTACAGAGTGTGTATCTTCAGTGTTCATAGCGTATGACCCTTTAATGTTAGCGGTGTGTGTGTGTATTGCGTATATGTATAGCATGTGCATGCGGGCCTACATCCCAACATCATATTCAAACTTGAAAAATAATGTACAAGCGATTTCAGTTCTGCCCCAGGCCAGCGTTGGCAAAAGCATTGCCTACAGCACAGGCAGATCCTTGATGTGTTCAAGTCCAGTCTTCGGGTCTGAATTGGCCAGTGAACTCCCAGTTAATTCTGGGCAGATTTCATTACTTTGTGGAGGTGTAATGGTGAGGAAGATACTTGGTTTCTATGGTAGTTCTGATCCATTGGAAAAGAAAGACCAAGGCCTCATATTTGTCATGTAAATCTCTCAGTGTGATGTAAAGGTTAGAAGAAGGCTACAGTGCCTGTCCACCTTCCTGTTTCCCGACTCCTCTCAGAGAGGTCGGTGATCGGTTTTCCTTCCTGTAAACTGGAGTCAAGCAGAAACCAGGGACTTTAACTAGCTCTCGTCACGTAACTCTTTTCTCGTTTTAACAATATTTTGATCTAATCATCTGCACTGCTCACCCTAGTGAAACATGTTGAGAAGGTGGTGACACTTTCCAGAAGAAGGAACGGCAGCTACAGGGGTTAACAGTCTCACAGACATGATCAGCTACTTAAGAGCAGGGCTGGGGACTCATCTGTTGCCCAGGGTAGCACTTCTTAGTGTCCATAGCACTGTTCCATCGGGGCCCTGGTGGTGTGATGGAACTGCAAGGCGCCAAGCACTGTGAGTTAATCTAGATGGAATGGGCTTTCCACGTAACTGAATTCTTGTCACCCGTTTGCTGTGGAGACGTAACTTCCCTTCTCACCTCTTCATTTAGGTTCCGTAAATGAGAAGTTACCACAACGAGAAGGCGCAGGAAGAACAGGTAACTATCTTAAGTGAATTTCTGTGCTGGCACATGGCATCTGATCCAGTCTGTGCCATGATGTAATTTATTTCCCGTGTTCCAAATTCACATGTGTTGGTAACGGTAGAAGGAGCCCTGGTGGTGCCAAGGTTAAAGGTACGTGGTTGGAACCCCCAGTAACTCCAAGGGACGAAGAGCTGGCGTCTGCTCCTGTGAAGATTACAGCCTAGAAAGCTCTGTGGGGCAGGGATACTGGGTCACGGGGACTCGGCAGGAATCTAAACCAACTTGACGGCACCCCACACTAACAGCAGTAACAGTAGCGAGAGCCGAGGCGGTCGGTGAATGAAATGCTCATTCACAAATGTTTATTCCGAATTACTCTTGCCAGCCACTTTGCTGGGTGCTGGGCATTGAATCTTCTAGAAAGCCCACGTGTGTCCAGGCCAGGGGCCTTGGACTGGTCTGAGCAGGCCCACCTGTAGAGGACGCAAACATTGCAGTTGTACCATGGAGCCCCTGGTGTGTTGCCGTGGAGATGGTCAGGGACTCTGTTTTGGCTCTCCAGGTGATTCTGAAACATGCCATCTTCAGGCCCCACTGAGAAAGTTGCCCCAACTGTTCTCACACTTTTCCCTCCACAGAAGCCATGCCCTCTGCCCTGGTATACACAGGAGCCAAGCACAGCAGCCAGCCATTCTCCATGTCATGTTATTAACTGTGGTTGCCCTGCACTGTGTTACTCATATGCGCGTGTTGCCCATGCTGGCATGAGTGTCATTGTTGGCCCATTTGAAGGACACTTAATGGGCTTTAGGGAAGGGTGGTGGTGATGGGGTGGGCTCAGGGAAGAGGAGGTGCTTGGCATGGACCCACTGGGCAGGAAAGATTGGGACAGGTGCAGTGTGACCATTTCCCGCAGAAAAATGGTGACAGGCAAGGGGTCCTCAGGACGCTGGCCTGAGAGACGTTTGTGTTTGGAAGAATGGAGGTCAGTTTGCAAAGCTGGAAAGCCGCTGTCTTTCGTTTGGCCTTAGATGCTAGATCAGCTGTGTGGGTCTGAGCCTGTAAGACAGGGGGTGAGGCACACAGATACTCGGCAGGAGGAGCAAGCAGCCACATTCGTGATGAGAAAATTAATCAAACGCACAAAGGAAGGAGGAGACTGAGGGTCAGACTCCTTCAACGGAAAACCTCCTCTGCTCTGGAGTTAACTGCCAACTCACAGCAACCCTGTGGGACCGAGCTGAGCCGCCCCAGAGCCTTCCAAGGCTGTAAGCTTTACAAAAGTAGGCTGCCAGACCCTCCTCCTGTGGAGCGGCCAGGAGATTGGAACCACTGACCTTTTTATTTGTAGCTGAGTGCTTAACCACCGGCCACCAGGGCTCCTCAGACCCTTGCAGGGGCATTTCATTTCCTAATCCTGTTTAGTATGGACCGTGCTGAGCCCCTGTCAAAATTCCTGGGGAGGTTGCACATGGGCACAGAAGTCATTTCAGGAAAGATGTTATCTGCTGCTGAAGCTCCCTTATTCTAGGATGTAATACCTGAAGTAAGCGCCAAGCTGGCTTATACTAAAGCAAGATGCTTAGCAAACCATGGTTCAGTAGAAAACTGTGCTATGGGATTGTTGCTTTAATTTCTTCAGAGTAAGGAGCTCTGGTGGCGCAGTGGTTAAAGCACGTGGCTGCTAACCAAAAGCTTGGCAGCTCAAATCCACCAGTGATTCTGGGGGAGAAAGATGAGGCAGTCTGATTCCGTGAAGACTGACAGCCTTGGAAACCCTCTGGGCAGTTC